AAAAGAAATGCATTTGGGTTTTAAAGGTGGTATGATGAAAATGTGGACGCTAGACTTACTCCTCTAAGATACCAAACATATATGAAATATAGCTAGCTTCATCCATAGATATTTTGATTAGTTTACTTGAAGCAAAGTTGCATTTTATATCAGCTGGCCACTCTCCTAAACCTCCTGGAAGGCACTTGTCATTTTAGGATGATACTGTCCTGGGATTAGTTGACGGACTCCAATTTCTTATTTTGAATTCAGGGAGAGCATGTGTTTCAATCTCCAGAGCTGTCTTGTGAACAGATCAGAGTGATTGATGTCCCTTAACAATTCAGTTTATTTTAAATTATCACCTATATTATTTACAATTATTTCCTATTTCTTTGGTTTATATGGCCAGCCAAAAAATAGTAAAAACAATAAACAAAGTATAAATAAAATAGCTGAGCAACAATAATTTCAATTATTTCAGCCAAGAAACCATCAGGTGGACTCCACTCCTTTTCAGTTTTTCAAATGAAAGTTGGATGCATTGAGTAGGGGGTGGACAGTGATGTACAGCTCCCACATTCTGTACTTCTGTTTACCATCACAAGGGAAGTTCAGGAGAGATTTGAGCAAATTTCCTTTCTTTGTGTCTTGTGGCCACAGAAGCCCAAAGCAGTGGTTATGGGTGGTGGTGTCTTTTATAACTGGTAGAGCAAACATAATTGCAAAATAATTTTTGGTTTTCTTAAGTCCTTAGTGGTAGATCCATGGAATGGTGTAAAAATTACAATGACAGTTCGCAAAAATTAAAACAATATATACACAACGTGAAATCAGAGCTATCAGTTTTTTAGCTGGTGTAGGTCTTCATATAAATCAAGTTCTTTCCAAGAACTTAGGATGTAGTCATATATTGGGATAGTATATATGTGGATCCAAGCAGTGAAACTTTTTGTAATTGACAGATTTTCTAAGTGCCTAACATTTTTTGGTATGACACCCAGTGTGGCGATAACCACTGGGATCACGGCAAAAGATTAGGCCATAATCTTTAAACTTTGAATATCAAATCTTGATTCTTTGTTCTATTTTATTATCCCCTGGTATTGTCACATCAATTATTCACACTTTCCTCTTTTCAACCACAGTTAAATCTGGTGTGTTATGTGCAAAGATTTTTATCAGTTTGTATTCAGAAATCCCACAACCTGCTCATTTTCAACTATTTTTCAAGTCTTTAAGTTCCCACCAATTTTTCATTAGTGATAAGTAATTTTTTACAGATGTTCCAGTGAAACATTTTGGCTATTAAGTTATGTCGTTGTATGTAATCAGTTTGTTGATCTTGCAGAGCATATGTTCTGTTTCTTCTCCTTCTTGCACAATTTGTACTTTAAATCATTTGACATTTTTTCAATTCTGGCCTTAAATGCATTAGTTTGAATGGCTTGCTCCTGAGCAATCAAAATTCTTTTTTTAATGTTCTAGTTGTAAGTCACTGCCAAGGTTTTGTCTTTATCCACTTTCCCCTCGATCTTTTGTAGAAATTGACCATGTAATGCTTTTCCTTGCAAGCATTCTGTTCGCGTTTTTGTTACATTATTTCAATATTTACATTTTGTTTCCTGTACATTCAGTAATTTCCAATTTTTAACTTGCATTAATGCTTGTTCTTGGTAGTCTTTTATATAACCAATATCCAAGATTTTCTGGAAGAGCTCATGACAAATATCATGAAAATTCTACACAGGTTTATAGAGAATATCTATACAACACCTGAGGAACATCTACTGTTAGCAGCACTTTTAAGATGGCCATATGTGAATGGTAGTAAGTAAGAAAAATGATTAAAGTCATAGACAGCAATCTAAATAATTTAATGTCTCAAAGCATACAGAAATCTCCTATTCCATTCATATTGGAAATTCATTTTTTTGAAATTTCGCTGAACTCAAGCAAATAATCTGATCCAAATGTAATCTCACTGAATGTGCAAAATTAGTCAAAGAAAAATTGTCGAGTTGTTGGCCACAATGTAACTCGCAAATTACATAGTATATTTCCTCTGACAAAAAATGAAATAATGAAATGTGTTCTTGTATTAGCCCAGAGCACCTCACATATAGAATTCTGTGAGTAGCAGAAAATATGTACTTACATGCACATGTCTACAGCTGTTTGGTTCCCGATCAATAAGTCACTATTTTAAGTTCTTTCTGACAAATTTCCTGGATATAAGCATAAATGCCAGCAGTCCATGATTTATACTAAACAAAACAAAGCTACCTCCAAAAGAAGTCAAAATCATTTTTTTATTAAAACTACACACTGTTTCAGATAAACATTTCCATTTCAATGCATGTTACTGGCCTAACAATTGAAACATATGTGTCAGAACAAATAGCACTGTGCATGCTTTGGGATATAGTTTTTGTTGCACTGGCAGAGTTGACATTGCCACATTAGTCTGTACTTTATCAATACTAAAGTAGTGTCAGCAGGAGCAGTGCTACACAGAATATTATCTTGGCTTGCTCAAAAGAGCTGAAATAGCATTTTTGTCTTTCTTAAATGCAATAATCCTAAACATGAGAAGGGGAGAAAAGATGAAATTTTATATGGCACAATTCTTTTGCAAGTTATTGTGAATCAAAACTGATAGATTACTTAACTGCAGGAAGTCTCAATGCAAAGAACAAGCAAATGTTTGCAGAATGAATCTGTAATTTGATACATGCCAAAAAAGTAATATATAGACAATATTAGTAAATAATACCCACTATATCTTTCAGACTAAAAAAACTATTCTGAACATCAGTACCTAGTCTATTGTGTCCAATATTGAATGTTTAAGACATGAATATTTCAGGGCCAACTTCATAAAAAGAGGGGTCACTGTAAAGCAATCTGCTTAAGCCCACCAGCCACACTGGCTCATAATTCCTTTGCTCTAATTGCTCACCATGCCATCCATGCCTGTATTGATTTTTGTTAGCAAAACAAAGTATGTGCAAATAGCAAAATATCAGTCTTCTGTAGCCTCCTCCCTAACATACAGCCTCTTCCATTCTTAGTTAATATAGAACTGAAGTAATTGAAGAAGACTGACCTAAATGAACATCCATGCTATCCTTTTTGTCATAAGGGAGAGATTTTACAAATCTCAAAAATGGATTTTGGTAATCACATGGCAGTGTTTGGATGATCATGTCGCAACTTAATAAACAAAGTTACACTGGAATGTTATGCATTCATGAACAATCACTTAGTTCCTCCTTCATGTGTTCAAATCAACAAGTAAACCACAGCCTCTTACAACATCCCAATTGGGAATCAGTGCTAATGGTGCCTAACAAGATAGGATATAGAAGCCATCTTTAAACAATGGTTTCCTAATTCATCTTGTTTGAAACATACTAGCCATAGTTTCTCAACCCAACTATGGTTCACTGAAATTTCTGGCTTGTTTCATAACATATAAAAAGCAAAACTCTTATGTGCATGTGGGAGGATTATACATATCTTTATTTATTAAAGCCATGAAATACTTCAGATTTTATTTGGAAGAAGTGGTATGGAATGCATAGCACTGCAAATGTAGCCCCAGTCTTCAACTCAGTCAAGAAGACATGTCTGCTTCCAGGATCATATGGTGGCAGCAGAGACCTCCCTTGCAAAACTCATAGAGGCTTTAACGGGTCACCTCTTTCTAATCAAAATGGAAGCAATCCATGGCACTGCTGTTGATTAAGCCCAAACTAGGATAAGGGACTAGGTTTTCATAAAATACGAGAATTGGTCAGTCTCAAAAGCAGTACATGAAAGTCAGATTCTGTATTTGTTAAAACTAGTTATTACATTGTCTGCTCAATTCAGTATAGAAAGTATAATTTTATTGTAATAAAAGAAAATAATTCTCTATTCACACCATGTGTTAATTGAAGGGAACATTTAAAGCCAGTAAGGTAGATTTCATTCATCACAGGTTTTAATAATACACATAGCAAACTAAAACCAACCTTCAGTTTTTACAGTAGAAAGGGATTACTTTAATGATCAGAGATGAAGTATTGTTAGCATAAGAATGTGTTACTTTCAATACCTTTGGTTGACTTGGGTGATATTTCGGCATTCCATGGTGAATTCCATATGAATAATTTCCCTGCTGAGAATTCGGAATGATTCCCAAAGAAAATGCACATCAAAAGAAATCAAAGGGTTAATTTATTTCCCTTATATTTAAAAAGGAAAGTTTTGACCACCTTTAGTGTACCTGAGCATTTTGGAGGAAATGGTTAGGCTGGGATGTCTGAAGAATCACAATTATTTAAAATGGTATCATTCCTTTTTCACTCCCAAAGTGCTTTTATTTCTCTCTATGATTAGAAGAGACTGGAAGACATCTTTACCACAGTGAAAACACACATTCTCCCACAAGTCTAAACTTAAAGACATCTGTTAACAGAAAAGCTACTTCAAACAACTTCCAAGGATAATTTTAATTAATATGATGTATTTCATTTAAAGGATATGCACATCAAAAAAAATGGTTTGAAAAGTAGAGGCATGTCTGTAAACAGAGGTATTAATAAAGATTTTTGTATATTTCTTGTCTGGGAGAGTTGAAAGGAAAGCAATAAAGGGAAAATTGACCACTATTACATTATAATTGTTAAACGGGCACCTTTTTTTAAAAAAAGTGAGCCATCCTTCAATTCATTCTTGTAATGTTGTCTTGTCTATCTGTTTGTTTCTGGTTTCTAAAATTAATTTAAAATCCACATTATCTTCTACAACCAACAGGAGAAAAATATACCTTGCCAAACAAAATTCTAGAAGAGAACCTGCAGCTCAAATAAAATAGAGATAGCACTGAAAAGTTGTAAGAATTACATTTTTGCAAATAACTATAGTCCAGCTATGTTGAGTACAAGTTCTTTTGTTTTGTAAAGAGTTGCTGTAACAATCCAGCACAATATTGTGAGAATGTTTATAATTTCTGGGAGAAAGCGGGGGGGGGGGGGGGATATACAAAGTCTTTATTGTGCTTGAACTTAATTGTTCCAACATTTTGCTCCCTCATTCTTTAGGAAAAAAAAAAAGACACAGAAGCCAGTTACATTCATTCTTCATATCTACTATCCCAGAACTTGGGATTTTAAGGTATCTTTTAGAACCGAAGCCAGAATCAATGGTATATCCAGTGTTTGGGTTTCAATAATAGCAGACATTTTTTCTTTCTCTTTTTCAAAGATGGTATGATCTTAAGTGTACCATGTTTCAGTCTTCAGTGATGTTGATGATGATGATGATGATGTGCAGATTTTCCCAGGAATTCCCTAAGAAGGAAAAAAAAACCAGTTGTTTATTGTGTCAAATATTTTGCTATTTTAGGTTCAGTTATTTCCTCTTCTCCCCATATCTGTCAGCATATAACACAACTCTTTCCTTTCCTGGATGGCTCAATAGTAGATTTTTTTTAATGCTGTGAGAAGAGGAATGCTTATCAAATCTGTGACCTGATCTTTAACAGTAAACTCTTGTAGGAGTCATTTGCTTTTATATAGCCGGGAGGACCTTGGAACATACAGAATGCACTCTGGGGAAAAAAACCAGGGTCTACATCTAGCAAGATAAAAAATAAAAGATCAGATACTTCGTCTTGACAATAAAAGTTCAGAGATTGTTCCCAAGAGATTGACTTGCTCTAAGACAAAAATATGATATAAACTGACAGCTCACAAGAAGGGAAGCAGACACACAAACAATTCTATTACTTCTAAACATTCATGTCATAAAAACAATGTCAAAATATTCCACAGTATCTCTCTTTTATATTCCTGTAATACAAATTCCAAAACCACTGGGAAAATTACTCTTCAGATGTGATGGACTACATTTGCTAGAATTGCCAACCAGCTCATCCCAGACTAATATTATGTGACATATGAATTACCCTTTTAATTACCGTAATATTCGAGGTAGCTCTGGGCTCTTGTAGATGTATTTATGCCTGTATCCTAGCTCTTTGTGAAATGGAACAAACTGTACTTTGTAATCACGAAAGTTCCGAGATGGGGCAGCAATGTTGTATAGCTGTAAAGATATTTAAAAGCAAATGCTTTCACCATATTAAAATTAAATACGATAGTACAGATAATTCCCAGTTTAAGAACAAATTCCATTTTCAAGGTCTATTCAACTGTTAAGTTGAATTTGTATGTAACCTGGAACAGTACTATTATATAATACTGTATAAATAGTATTGTGTAATTAAGTTAAACCATTGTATATTTAACTTGAATTTTGCTACTATAAACTCCATTCTTAATTATGGGTCACCCTAAAACCAGGGTGTTCTTAACCTGGGGACTTGCTGTACTGTAAAAGTCTTTGGACCTAAGAAGTTCAACAAAACTGATAATTATAGAAAATGGGTCCCTTAGCATTCATCAAAATGGCACTAATGCACTGTTATAATGAAAATATGTTTTGATTATGTTTTAATGGTTCCACTTTTAATTGTTAGTTCTTTATTATTTTTTCTTTACTGTGTATGCTGCTCACGTATGAGAGATCTGTGGCTATATAAATATGATAAACAGACTAATCATCCTGGCCAAAGGCCATGGAATGATGAGAATTACTGTCTAATATGTATGACTGGCACTGAGTTGAAACTAAAATTCAATTTTTTTCTTGTATAAATTTTCCTGACTTTTCATTCTGTGGTACACAAAGAAAGAATCTCCTTGATTGCACAGACTTAACTGTTTCTTTCTCTAGATACAGGACAGCTGTCAGCTCCCATTTCACCAATTCCAACAATGATGACTAAAACCAAGTCATGGCAATAAATCCAGATTACAGGAGAATATAAAACCATGCACGTCACACTGTATTTCACATTCTTCTCTGATACCCCCTCTGTTGAAGACACTATATACCATCTCATTCTCAGCAATTTTAAAGGCTGTGCAGAGATGGAAAATGACAGACAAGGCTACAGCTTTGGATCTTAGAATAAGAAGGAGCAGAAGGATTATAAAGGAGGAACACAGAGATCTGCTCCATGCTTTTCTAATTCATCTAGGATGACTGATACTTGAATGAAAACACATTTTAAAAGTAGCTTCCTTGACAATATAAAAGGAGAGTGAGACAGAGTTAAATTATCTGTCTCCATCAACACTCTGAAAATGCATTTCTTCCAATAGCAGCAGTCAAGATTTGATATATTGATTCGCCCCACATAAATTAAATTGCAATTATTCAAGCCCGGATACTATTCTAACTCTTTCAGGATATTTATAAAGTTATGACGGGGCAAGAGTTAAAAATGAAGCAGCACCTTTTTTCCAAGATGAAATGGAACCACAGGATCATCTTCAGCATGAAGAATAAGCAGAGAGCATGAAATGTGCTTCACACTGCAAAGACAACACACACCAAACAATTAATTGGGTATATTTTAAAAATATGAACAAAATATGAATATCTCTTACTTTATTCAAGGTTAACTGTTGGAAAGTTCAGAATCACAGAATTTTATGCTTTTGTACATTATTTTATTACACTGTTTTGAGGATTTGGAAAAATAAGTAGTTTTGCAATAGTCTTCCAATGCAGATTATTTGCATTTGTGCAATTACATTCATGAAAAAATGGCTAAAATAAAATCTGCTGTCCAATCAAAAATGGAATAGCATGAAAGAATAAAAATCTAGAAACAACTATCCAAAAGGCTGTATATCTGTTAGACAGAATGCTTTACTTTGTTACAATGAACTGCTGGCTTTTTTTTGAAAAACGTACAATTTCCTGAGCCAAGGTAACTGAACAGGAAAAGCAGGGATAGGTTCATCCATGACACAATAATTCTGTGAAAACCTTTCAGAATAACAGGGTTTTTTTTCCTGTCACTGAAAACCTCAAAGAGCAAGTGGTGGAGGAGGGAGTCAATAGATATTTTATTTACTTACTTCTCATCATTGGCAAACTTTATTCCACTTGATGTGATAGGGTCAAGGAAAAACCAGTCAAATCCCGGGAAATATCTATATATCTGGAAAAAGTTTGCAAGATGTCACAGGCAAATTTTCTATTTATGGCACAGGTATACAGGAGTCTAAGAAGTGTAATTTAAGAATTCATAAACACAATTTGCGTCTTTAATCACACACTTTTCATGCCTTGTTTATATCCCAATTTCACCATAGGTAGTCCTAACTTAATGATCCTAAATTGGGACCAGAATTTCTGTTGCTAGTGAAAAAGTTGTTAGATAAAACATCATATGAATGTACCACTGAAGCAATGGTAGTCCTGATAGTCTGCAGTCATTACCTGAGGCCTTGTGCTTCTCCTGTCTTGCTGCCTCCTTCCTGGCCTGGTCTAGCAAGCTTCCTTTGGCAGGAAGGGTCTGCTGCCCTGCCATGCTCACCTCAGCTTCTAATTCCCATCATCTTGGCCTTTTTGTGTGGCCAGGACTCCACCACCACCACCTAGCCCCATGGCCCTTCACCGCCCCTAGCTGACCTCAACTATCTTCTTTCTCCTGCTGCTGATAAGGTGTGCCCAGCCGCAAGGTATTACAGTGGCCTTGCAAGGAAGAAGATGGCGAAGGTCAGCTGGAGGCACCGGGAGGCTGCAGGGATAGCAGAGTGCAGGACAGAGGAGTGCAAGGAGGAGTGCAAAGTGGTGAGGGCAGCAGGGACTATAGAGTGCAGGGCGGCCAATAAGGTAGATCGGAGAAATAGGGAGGGGGGGAGTTGAAAAGCATGCTGCAGTCATAAATGTGGTGGCTTGCAAAGTGCCCAAATTTTGATCACATGAGCACAAGGGTGTTACAATGACTGCAACTTTGATGACTGGTCATAACTACCATTCATTCAGTGCTCTTGTAAATATGAACAGTCACTCAACACATGGTTATTAAATAAGGATTCCCTGTACTGCAATACACTCTACATGGGCTCACTTTGCAAAGTGCCTGGAAGCTAAATTGGTAAAATATGTCTATTAGTTTACTAACTAATGCTAATGGTAACAAATGCATAACACTGAGTTCACTTGATACCCATGTTTAACTCTTTCAACCGACTGTCAACTGCTTTCAGGACAATTTAATTTAATTTAATGTGGTGTTATTATATTGGATAAAAGTTTTAGGCCTGATAATGTGATGGGGCCATCTCTACCATTATAAACCTGTACAAATATTTTAAGATCTACAGAATAGTCCTTTCTCAAGATACCCACACTTGCTGAGGCCTATCTATTAGGCTAAATTGGTTCTTTACATTTGGACCCTATTCTTCCACCTTTAGGAAAGCGGTTCCTTTAGCAACAACTTCGCACATAAACTGAATTATAGTAGTACTAAAACTAAGAAGCATAATAATGTATCTTATTGTAGGATACTTGGTGCTCTCTAACCTTAGTTGTTTTCTTGAAGATGTTTCATTACCAAACTAGGTAACATCATCATGCAATGTATCTTACTGATATAAATATATAGCTGCTCTGTCAAATAATTCAGGACAATATATAATTTAAAAATAAGTACATACAGTAAATGTCATTTGAAATGTATTTTTACAAAAGTACTTCCAAACGTTTATATCAAAATTTTGATTTTATGTTATTTCATTAGACAGGCCCACATTTCTTGAGATTACCTGGCCTGAAGGGAGGGGCAGGAATTCTTATCCTATTTTTTGTGCTTGTGTTGCAAGTGGTAGAACTGGACTGACCTTAGCAGGATCAAGCGTATTTACTACTTGGATATAAGCTTCCAAGAAATATCAAGGCTGTAGGTTGGGACATTTTTTTTTAAAGAAAAACACATTATGGAAGATGGTAATGGCAAAGCACTTCCATAGTACTACTAAGGAAACTATTTGGACGTATCCTTGAAATTATCAAGAGTTAAGTTGGATTTGAAGATGATTTTACTCTCCTGTAGCAGAGAAAAGAAATATTTCTTGAGATCATATTGGGTCCTTGAGTGTAAAAGGAGGAGGAAAAAGGGAGGAAAGATAAGAATTCTTTCTTCTAAAATTAAGATTAAATACATTATCTTTATTGGGGGGGTTCGTTCTATGGTAGTGTAAAAAAGCTTTGTTATCTAAGTGTTGATAAAAAAAAACTTGTACTTTTTGAAAACTGACCAGTGTGATAAGAAGAGGCAGCTTTCCCTTCTATGGCTTTGTTCTACTCTGTCTGATCACTGTTATACTTTCACAGTACTCCTTTTTCACACTTTCATTAGCATAGAGCAGTAATTCATTATAAATGGAAAAAGAACGTCCAACTAGTCCAGAGGTGGAACTCTAATGATTACATCAGACAAATAGCACCAGTATTCCAATGATGTTAGTATTGAACTTGCAGCACCTCTATTTTCAGCAGAGTCCTTACAAGGTGCTACACTAGAAGATGCATTTTAGTTTCTGGTGAACTATAAGGTTAGGATTAGCTAATGTTTCAAAGTCTATTCAAAAATTATTCAAAGTATAAAGTAACAGTCACTTTAAGTTCCGGAATGTACATACAGAATGTATCTGCAACTCCTTCAATACTTATTCCTCCTGACTATGAATTCGTAAAATGTAAAAATATCGAAGCTTATTTCCAGAGGGTTAACGCTTACATATATTCTTACACTCCTTTCTAAATGACTTCATTCCAAAAAAAAAGGCCAATTACCTGAAACTATACTATCAGAAATCTCACACATATTTTTTTTTTTGCTGAATATACTCATTTTATACATGGAATTATTTCAGTCTTTCTGGGCTGGGAAATCTCCTGGCAGAGAAAACAATACTTTGCACATATGGGAAAAAAATTGAAACAAAAAATCTTGATATGTGTTGCTTATTGGATATGTTGAGAATTCTCAAGGAAATATAAGATGGGAATTTTAGCATGTAAATCTGTACTTACCACTGAAAAGGGATGACTTTTTGCTTCTTCACGTATGTTTGTAAAAGGTGATTCTAATACCAGGGCATCTGGGGGAGTTTCTGAAAAATATAGAGCATTGTCCATTTCAGCCAAACTATTGGTACATCTCTACAAGAATATGCCTTGTATCTACCTTGAAGGACATCTAAGTAGTGTGGAGGAATGCAAATCCAGAGTTGGAACTAAACATAGAGGCATAATCGCAAGAAGACTTTCAGGTGTTCAAAAATATGTCATTATTTTCGATTTATATCTGGATAAACAGTATGTATTATTACATTATTTTTAAAGCCACTTAGACAAACTACCAAATGAATAAGCTCTGGCTTAGAGTTCAGAAGGAGAGTGTGATATCCTGAACTCTGATAGCATTTTAAAACCTCTAAAATAAAATTTCACAGGCTGAACAACTGCACTTATCTTTTGAAGATACAAATGCAGTATGTTAACTTCTCTGCCAGATTTGAAAATTGTTAGCCAAATCCACCCATCACAGAAGAGCTGAGCAAAGAGGCTTTTTGCAGCTGGTAAAAACTACTACAGCCTCCAGAGAACTTCAAACATTATCAAACTACGTATGAGAGAAGAACACTATGAAATGTATAACAAGAAAACAATTACATTATGTTAATCAAATTTAAATAAAACATTCATTTTTCTGGTCTCCTCTTTCAATGCCACACCTATCAACAGTCAAGTGTGAGACTTGGCCTGCAAAAAACTACACACCATGATGGAGTCATTATGTCACTCTGACATTTTAATAAAAAGGCAGTTTTACTGCTAAATACTGACCTATTTAAACTTTTCTCAAAGACAAGAGAAAATATGGTTGATATGAAATGCTCCTTGATAACATCATGTAGAAAAAATTATCTTACCTCTTTCACAAAGACGTCTTACTAGATTGGTTGCAACTCTACAAGCAAAACAGAGTTAAATGTTGATTACAGAGAGCTCTTACCTAGTTCTCTTCTTAAACCTTCTTTATAACTCTACTTCATTTATCTTATCTCCTACTTCGAAAAACATATCATAAAACATTATGGTTTGACACATCACTTCACCATAAGAAAGCAGCAATGAGTGATGGAATTCTGGAATGTTTAATATGAGGCCATGGCATAAACAACAGCTCTATCTCTCTAATCTAAATTTTAAAAAGTATATTCTATTCATAGATTGCTAATAAAACACTATTCATCAGATCAGTTTCACACATTGCTCCAGTAGAAATTAAAGTAGTAAACAGTAAACTGCTACCCATCATTTGTAATGCAATGTATAACCTCAAATCTAAGATGCCTGAATGATATTAGTCTTTTATTTTTCAATCTAAAGAAGCATTTGTGTAAATCTAAATGCTTATGACTTCCTCTTATTTTAAAACTAAAATGCTTTGGATTCCAAGTTCTTTTCAGTGGACCCAAACTGAATATGGGATATTTATATTATCAAAGTAATTTTGATAAATTTCCTGCAGCTCTGTTTTGCAACCCCAATCTACTTTTTTGGAGCTTATGCATTCCACTAATAAAGAGAAAAGAAAAGAAAAGAAAAACCCCTTGATTGGAGTCTTTTTGTGAATGGAAGGGTTTTTCTATATATTGAAAGGCAATTTATGTCCAACCCCCTGGTGGGAGGGGGGCACCCAACACATTTATCATTAAATAACACAATAAGAAACCACTACATGTGGGATACTTAATCTAAAACCTAAATCTTTAAAAAGGGGTATTTACTGATTACATTTCTTATTTCTATTTTTAATGAGCATAGTTCCATTAGAAGTGGCTCTATCTCCTCTCTTTAAAATGAAAAAAACCCATTTGCATATTCTTCCATTTAAACTCTGAAAAATCAATTTCCTCCAGCCATTTGGCCTCCTTTGACTACTAACAACAATGACGTTTTGAATTTACTGGTGTCTTTGGCAGCATCTGCACTGAGAACGGAGTTCAAGCATGTGTAATAGAAAAGACAATAGCTACAGCACATGCAAGTCTAAGCTCATTAGGAAAATGAGCATTAGCAATAGCATTTAGCAATAGCAATAGCACTTAGACTTATATACTACTTCACAGTGCTTTACAGAACTCTCTAAGTGGTTTACAGAGTCAGCATATTGCCCCCAACAATATGGGTCCTAATTTTACTAACCTCGGAAGAATGGAAGGCTGAATAAGCAAAAGGTTCCTGATATCAGCAAAGATATAGCTTTCATTAATGTCTTTCAAGTAAAGACATTAATGGGAAGATCAATCTATAGAAGTACAAAATATTCCAAAAGTATTCAGTTGACTCTGTCATAATCCCCTTTTCTGTGATAGGAACATTTTGTGTGGTGTCTTGAGGATATTTTTGCCAGCAGAATGTAAACCGGCTGGCGACC